TTGCTGTGCTTGAGAGCCACCATCTACCGGAACCAAATTCCCTGTATGTGTCTGCACATATATTTGGCCAATAAACACGATTCTGAAAAGCTCTGTGGAAAATTAAACTGTAAGGAGTGACTGATAACGAGCATTACTGATAGTGTCCATTAGTGTTACGCTCAGCAGGATTTCTGTTAGCCATTTCCATCTGCTTGCTTCTCACAGACTTTACACTTGCACAGTATTTTAATACAGGCAAATAATAAATATGTTCCTGTTGTCAGACAACAGATTATCCATGAAATATCAAAGCCGCATGGTCACCTTTGTATGTCCACAGCTATTCCTGCTGGTTGGTTTTTATAATAGATCTGTGAGCTGGTTTTCTTTTATCCTTGTATATATGTGTACAAATCAAATCAGCATGCCCTTTATTATCGATGTTTTATGTTTGTTACCAGTATGAGAACATAATGAGGAAAACACCTTTTACACTTGTGGCGCTAACCTACATAAGGTTTAATACATTTATACACACACACACACACACACACACACACACACACACGACTATGTGTGTTGAGACCTGGGAGATGTGAGGATCCTGCTTTAGAACACTTAACTATGTTTAAGAATGGCTCAAATGTAATCATAGCTCCTCTCAGGCGTGCTCACACACCAGCCTACATTCCTCAGACAGGTTATACTGAGTCTTTGCTGCTCTGAGGAAGAATCAGAGCAGGGCGAGGCAACAGAGGAAGCCTGGTACAACACACTATGGGTAAACAATTAGTCTGGTACTGCACTGTATGACACATAGAGTTACATTACATTACATCTATATAATGTGTTTAAATAAATTTGTTAAAGTACCATGTGTCTACATGATCACATGTGGTGTGGTACAGGAAACTATAGAAAGGTGTTCGTTATGATATGACAAAGATTTACTCGTTCATTCAAATTACATGATAAATTATCCCTTGTGTGAACACAGCACTGGGAGCCAGCTGTTGCATGCGGATTAATTCAACTAATTGCAAAGTAGCTGTAAAACAAACCACAGCAACTAAAGCTCGTCATTTCTACTGATTTCATTTTTTATTTCTTTTTCAAATGGTTGATACCTTATTACTGGAACTTCTTGATACCAGTACAGGTTTTTACATTCTCAAAACGGTCCGTGTTGCCTTACTGAGCATAAATCTGTGCACTTTCCTAATATTTTATGACTATTTGCAAAAAACCAAAACAAAATAAAAAAAGACAAAACTTTATTCTAAGGAAATCCCACTATTAAAAAAAACAAAACAAAAAACACTGATTAAAATCAATATTTTCATATATCTAAAGATTTTACTTTGTGGGAAGCTCAAAGTCTCTTGATAAATTCCAATATTTTTTATATGCAGAAATAATCTTGTAGTGTACATACAATACATTGGTACTAGTCAATTTATCAGCTAAACTCTAACAGCAAATTTCCCGATTACAGTACTAAGGAATTTTCCCAATGTTACAACACTGAGGTTAAAGAATCAACCTCAATTCCTTCTGGAACTTTAAAAGAAGTCTATTATGACTGAATTTAGCACCTGACTTGTAGAAAAAAAAAAGTGTACTTTAAATTGTACAGGGTATTTTGTTTTTGGCTTCATTCATGCTCTTTGATGCCTGTGTAGGTTTGTGAGACTTCCTGGAACAGCAGCTTTCAGTGTTGCAAATTTTAACATCTTTTAATTTGGCTTGGAAATTCACCCCACATAGAGAGGCAGATTCCAAGAAGCATGACAGGAATGACCAATATTACTGTAAATTGGGAAAACTTTGTACGCCATTGCACCAAATTTTGAGTGTTAGATTTGCAGGATTGCAAATCCCACCAAAGCTGGCCCAAATTTAAACCGTGCAACTGTATAAAAGATAATGTCCCGCTGTGTGGATTATGGACATTATCTGTGAAAAGCAGTTTTTACACACAAATCAAACATTTAAACATTTTTTAACCCATCCCATTTAACCCAAACACAACCGGAGTCAAGGCATGTGTGCAGTCACAGCACAGCTCAGCAACTTAGCTGCTTATTCACCCCTTCATCTCTCCTTACCGTGAAGACACAGGAGAAGACTTTAAAGCACACTAAAATAAACAATGGCAAGTCGAGTCACGCAAGTCTGAAGTGTGCCACATGCTGATGTAGACTTTGGTAAAGCTAGAATTGATTTTCATAGATATGAATTTCCAAATCAATAACTGAAATGTGAAATGCTGCAAATAACGGATCTTTCTAGTGAGGGGTTACAGATAACTTTTCATCTAGAGTTGATTCAATTCCAATTCACAAGGTCCCGCATCGATTCGATCCACGATTTGATTCGAATCGGGGAAATTTTGCCTCAGACAGTCAGAAATATTATAATTCTGATCACTTATCAGTACATATCTATATTTTTTTATATCTATAAAAAGAAAGCTGACACTTGTGAGACTTTATCAAAGGTGTAAGCATCACAGCAGATTCCTTTCTGTCAAAGTAACTGAGGATAAAACACAGAAAAACATGAAGGCGGTTTTCCTGGTCTGGGTTTTTATAGCAGATGACCTTAAACATATTGTGCAGTCAAAAACAAAGTGAAGCAGAGCAAAGTTACAGAGGTTTGATTAGAGACACAGCTAAGCATTTTGAAATTTTGCGTAATTTTAAGTTTAAGTTTAAATTTGTTCAGTATTGAACAGCAGAAATGAGGCTTTATTGTCGGAAGTAAGTTAACAAAAAAACCCCAAAAAGAACCAGCAGACTGTAGACTGGTGGGTAATAAGTAAGCGAATAATGCAAAAAACAGATTTTTAGACGGGAAACTATTCCTGAGAGAGAGAGAGAGAGAGAGAGAGCTCTACATGAAGTGTGATTTTATCGTGGTGGAAGCAAAACAGCAAAAGTAAGAGGAAATTCGTGACGATGTTTATGTGAAGTGAAATGTGAAGCGAAGTTTGGATCGTCTTTGGCTGCTGGTTCAGTCAGTATTGTTTGGAGAGAGATAAAATCTGCAGCTTCAGAATCTAGCGCAAAAAGGACGTAAACACAAAGTGCCCGCCAACGCTTCAAAATCAGTGAGCTGTTGGCTTTCAGCCCCGACGGCGTGTCGGCGTACGTGCGTCGGGTGAGAAAGACGACATCTCACTGATTCGGATGCGTTGGGTCCGCGTTTTGTGTTTACGTCTTTGTGCAGAATCAGTGTACCTGCT